TATATATATATCTTCACAGTATCCACAGTGACTTAGTAACAGTAAATACATAAAAGTAAATGTATATATTACATTTACTTGCAGGTTCAAACCTTTTTACGATTGGTGTGCCCAACCAAAGATGAATGCTGAATACTGGTTTAATTAAAATGCTGTAGATACTCAGGCAGAACTGGTTGCCAGCCTTCCTCTCTGGGGATGTGAGGATAACCAAGGTATTACTACATGCAGCTCTTCCATGCTGCAGGCTGAGGGAGGTGGTGTTGGCTTGGAGTGTTACAGTTGACTGGTATTTGGTTTGCTTTAGATTCACTTGGGATGTTCCCTGGGTTGTTTTAAATGAAAAGAAGTTGAAAGGGGGTGGGGGTGGGAGAAATAACTCAGCAGCTTAAGGGCCTGCCTAGCAAGCAAGTTCAAGGTGCTGAGTTCAATCTCCTGTACGGAAAAAAAAAAAAAAAAAAAAAAAAAAAAAAAGCTTCTACTTAAATGAAAGGAGGCAAGCAAGTTTTTAAAACTTATATTATAATGGGAACCAAATGCAGTGGTCTGTGCCTGCAATCCCAGCTAAGACTAATCTCAAAAATAAAAACAAAGATTACAATGTTATCCGTAGGAATGGCAATGTCAGAAATTGTTGACTTGAGCCTTTTATAGCTCAGCATATTAATATGGCTTTACTTTTTATACCTCCTTTTTACACTTTCCTGCTGGTGGTTAAGACCTACATAAAGCAAGACCTAAATAACAAGAAATGTAACTTTTGTATGTGACAAGGTCAGTCAAATCCCCTCAGGATTTAGCCTGAAACCCTGAACCACAGTGTGTAGATACTTTGTCAGTGTCAGCCATGTAGATGAGTCATGAGCACTACTATTATGGACTACTGGACTATATTGTATTATATTGCTGAACCCACGCACCTACAATATTTAAATGGCAATGGAATACCCTTCTCTGACAAAACTAAACCAAAAAAGGGGATACAAATGAAGGATCATTTTGTATCTGTATATACAAAATAGGATATATATACAGCTATTTTCGCTTAATTCAATGAGAAGAAAGATTTATACTAATAGTATTTGGACAGGATATCATGTCTGCATCTTTTACTATGAATAGCCACTACAAAGGCAACAATATGCAGTGTATTAATTATTGTAACTGTCTGACTAACCTGTTTTGAAACTGTCTCATTGCTATTTGTTTCTCAATAAAATTAATAAAAAAGATTACAACGTTAAAAGTTATTTTTCAGTGGAAGGTTAATGTTTAACTTTAACTGCCTTTTTATATCCTAGGCTGACCAGATATCAGGTTTTCATATAAGATCTGTTCTCTGCGTCCCAATTTGGAATAGCAACCATCAAATAATTGGTAAGACATTCCTCAAACAGTTCTAGCTTCTTTTATAAAGGAACAGAAATATACTTTAAGATATACCCATGTCATTTTTATGAGTTCTCTTTACTACGTCCTTGAGTCCCCAGGCCTGTGCTGTCTCCTAAGTATAGCTCCCAATGAACAGACATGAATGAGAGCATAACAGAATTTATTAAGCTCAAAGAACCAATAAATTGTGAAGTTAGAACTGTGGAAGTGAATAAAATTCTTTTATCTTAGGTTGAAGCCGAGAGAGAGAGAAATAGACAGAGAAAGACAGACAGAGAGAGAGAGAGAGAGAGAGAGAGAGAGAGAGAGAGAGAGAGAGAGAGAGAGAGAGAGAGAGAGAGAGAGAGAACACAGTGACTTAAACAAAGTCAGTAAGTTAACAGCAGGGTTAGCATTGAAAATTCAGGCCTCCTAAATCCTGGTACAACTCTCCCATGTATCTGTATTTTTTATCTGTGCTTTTCCACTGCTGTAGTTCTAAAATAGGTTACACTTCCCAGTACAAGGGGATTGCAAAAAAAAAAAATAATAATAATAACCTCCACTTTTTTTCTAACTGCCCTTTTCCCTCCCATCAAAAATAAAAAGAATTAAAGTTAATATAAAAACCCAGGCAAGAAGAGTGCATGGTTTAAAAAGTCAAAATGAGTGGAGACATTGTTTATACTTATTGAAACATAATCAAAATATGATTGTTTGGTCCCTTGGAGACATAAGGTATCCAAGGTATGCAGTACGTAATGTATCTTTTGACCTCTCTACTCCTCCCTAAATTTGCCTGTTAAGCTCTAAGACACTGCTAGCCAGCGAAGGATTTAGTACTCAGCAAGTGTGGTCCAGATCTGAGTTTTGAAAGATTCTTTTCATTGGATTGCTTAATTTGCACAAAATACTGGTACATTATTGAATATAGAGTATATTCTAAGGTCTGAGGCTCTATGCCCTTAGTACAAATGAGTATTAAATTGTATCTTGTACAAAGTTTTAGATATGTTTAAAGAAAGGAGAAAGTCCATGAGAAACACCATGGCTTATTTATTGATTCAATGATAATCTTGCATACAGTTTTACATTTCAGTTCTAATAGTGAATATGTCATTACATCAAAATTGGGACTATAGTTTGCTTGTTACATGCTAAGATTTTTCATTTCATTGCATATGTATTTTTTTAGCCTAGGATCAGTTACCTCCCTGGTGAGGAGTTAGATTTTGTAAAAACAATAGCAAGCACATTTTAGAATAATAGCTATTTTTTGTTTGTACTAAATAGGGAAACAGACTAGTGGGTTTTCAAGATTATTGGGTTTTTCTTATTAGACTGCTGTGCTTTGGAAGCATGCCCTAAATAAGCTGGTATAATGCCAAACAAACTTTGAGAGGAGGAAGTCTTCATAAATTAAGTTGTCAGAACTATGCAAACCATTGGTAGTACAACAGAACTAACCTTGCTTTAAAAGTTCATGGTATATCAATTTCCATTGCTTGTGGCAATTCCCATCACTTCTTCAGTGTCTACTTCATGTGGAGCTATATGCTGTTTTACAAACATTTGTATCTCAATATGGAGTACAAAACAGTAGGTACCAGAGGTGAAGTAAGTTAGCAGCATAATGTGTATGAGAAAAAAAGTAGTACTCTAATTATAACATGAAGATAAGTAATTAAACTGTACTGTATTTGGGATGCCTTCTGATTGAGTAGATTTTAGCTGCTCTTGTGGCACCTAAAGAAAAAGATAAAATAGGTATCTGTGTGAGTGGAGTCTTCCCAGCCTTTTTTAAGTAGTCCACATTTTAATTCCCACTTTACAATGAGAAATCCAATGCTAAATGATAACTTAGGGTCACCCATGCTAAATGATAACTTAGGGTATCTGTGTGAGTGGAGTCTTCCCAGCCTTTTTCAAGTAGTCCACATTTTAATTCCCACTTTACAATGAGAAATCCAATGCTAAATGATAACTTAGGGTCACCCAGCTGGCAGTGGAGTTCGCATCTGAACCAAGACCATCTAAAATCCAGAGTTTATGTTCTTAATCTCAGCCTTGCTAAAATATTGCTAAGCATATATGCAGTTATATATTATCTGTCTCTATCTTTCCTTCCCTCCCTCTTTCTCTCCCTCCTCCTCCTTCTCCTCCTTCTTCTTCTCTTTGTCTCTCTGTCTTTCTGTCTCACTCTGTCTCTGTCTCTTTCTGTCTCTCTGTCTCTCTGTCTCTGTCTCTGCTTCTCTCTCTCTCTCTCTCTCTCTCTCTCTCTCACACACACACACACACACACACACACACTATTGCAGTATTTGTGTGTTTGTGAATACACACACATTTGCCCGCTATACCAGAGTAATGATACATAGGAGCTTAAGCTGGATATCTATAGTTACTTAATGAAGGCAGAGATCCAGCCACCATAGCCTTCTCTAATATGGTAACACTTTGTCTAACATTGAAAATGGCCATGTTTCTCAAACTTCTTCACAGGAGTGGCTCAAGTGTTGAATAGACTTGATGGGAAACCTTTTGATGATGCAGATCAACGACTTTTTGAGGTAAGAACATAAATTTATAAACCAAGGGTCATGGCTGAGTCATTGGTAGTCTCCTGGTCACAGCTTGCCCATGTTTGTAAGGATAAACCATCTTTAATTATTATTAATTTTAAGCAGGCTGCCAAAATGTAAAGGGAGATTTGAAGACTATATAAATTCATATGTAAAGTTTGATTTTGTTTTTCACCTAGCACATTATTTTGTAACTCTCAGTTATTTTTATCTTAATTGTAGTACAAAAACAAGTCTCCCTTATCCTCTGCAAATTGTTATTATCCCATTCTTGTGTGGTTTATATATGTTCAGAGTCCTGAGATCCTCAGTTGGCTTAGCCAGGTTTTCTTTAACTCAGGATATCCCACAGCTTCTTTACCAACTCATCCTAAATCAGTCTCCCTTCCCCTTGCCTTGTAGTTACTCTCACTTCACTTACCAGAATATTTTACAGCCTACTTACTGAAAGAGATTGCTTTTGGTTAAATAGAATGGAATTAACTAAAATCAATCCACAACCTAAATAAATTTAAAGCACATTGAAATAGACTGTATGTTTTTAAGTGAAGTCATTTCTTCACAATGGTATTAATAATTTTTTCTCAAGTGAAATGTAAGCTATAAAGTTGTTACATGACAATAGTAATTAAGAATTTTAATGTGTGTATTTCCCCAAGGCCTGCCTCTGTGTACAATAAAATTATATTCTCAGACCCATCTCTGATTATTGCCTGCTTTCATATTAAATTTTGTCAGTGAGTTATCACAGTTTTTAATTAGTGGCCTCTCCCTTCCCTAGGCCTTTGTCATCTTTTGTGGCCTTGGTATCAACAACACAATTATGTATGATCAAGTGAAGAAGTCCTGGGCTAAGCAGTCTGTGGCTCTTGACGTAAGTACTGTACTTACATCAAAATCCTGTACTAAAGAGTCCCAATTTTATGGAGGAAAAAGTATCCTGGGTGTGGGGCTTACTTTCTTAATTGTTGTTTATCTTCATTTGAAACTTAAGCACTTTTGGGCTATAGGTTTAAAGCTAAAGACCTTTTTAGAAAAATGCACATACATGCAATGTTTCACATATTTTAAGGGAGCCCCCAGATTGTTTGTTGTCCATGCATATATGTCTCATGATTAGATGAGGATTTTTATATATTAGATCTATTAGATAAGAGTAAGAAAAAATAAAATTGTCAGGATTTAAAATGTAATATGAACTTAGATATGAATATGTGTGAACATTCTGCAGCTTCACAATTTTCCTTATCAAAGAAAGCCTCACTGTGAACATTTGTGGCCCAGATGGAAGAAGCTGCTCCTGGCATTATCCTGCTACCTCTTTCCACACATGCATGGAACCCCCTGTGCTGTTTCCCAACATACCCTGCATTGTTTCCCATGCTGACACTGCATGTCCTCTCAGACCCACTAAGTTCTAAAAGAAGAGTTCCCCTCTCCTAGGATGCTCAGGGGATTATGTTGACCCAAGGTCTGTCATTTTTCCAGCATCTTGCTCTGTGGGTAGATTTTGTTTCTATCTGTGGCATGCTTATTAAGGTAAGGCAGCTAAAACGTCAGTGCCAAGGTAACAGTCTGTAGAACAGTACAATACGTGTGTGGTCTTCAGACTATTGTGGGTACTGAGCCAGATTTCAGTAGAAAAAGAAAAGCAAGGGAGGTATGAGCAGGCAAATGGATGGTACTTGCAATACTTTGGTTTAAGGTTTTAAAAACATGAAATTATGGTTATCTAATCTAGTCACTTTTTTCCTCCTGGTTAGAATGACTTCTGGAAGCAGAGTTTTTATCCTTTATGGAATTTTATTTGGAATGCATAGCAGGTGTTTAACACAGAGGAGAGATTTATTGCATAGTTTTGGGGTGGGAGGGAAGCAGGAAAGAAGACAGAAGAGCAGAAAGGAGAGAACATAGTTTGCTGTTATCCTCCTGAGATAGCCCTGCATTCCTTCCATGTATCATGCTCGCAGTAAGGACTAAAAGTAATACCTGATGAATCAATAAGTGGATGAGCTGCAAACATAACACTGGGTAAGTCTCACTAGTGGGGCACTAAGATCTGTGGGCAGAACTTGTTTTAAATAATGGCTCTGTCATCTTGCTCAATTGTAGGAATTAGATCAGATGATGAATGTGATGAAGATTTTAATGAGCACTCAATAAAATTATAGCAACAACAATAGCCACTATATTTATTATCTGTAGCAATATATTTATTACTGAGAAATAATTAGGACAAAGAGCAAAGGACAGGAATTTTGAATCACAAATGTGAGTCATGCTGTCATCGCATACTGATTGCAGCAGAGTGGCCTCATCCCCTGCTTCTTACTTCCTTCATCTGTAAAAAGACCACCCCAAGACCAGTCACAGAGAGATCCTTATGGTCATGTCATGGTATCATTAGAACACGCAGAAAGGAATTGATGCTCCCTCACATTCTCACTTCTCACCTGCCTTCTACTGCATCTTCATCCTGCTGAGAGAAAGCTAGAATGACTGAGCTACTGACCTTGGAAAAGAGTCAAGGAAAGGCACCAGCCTCCCCAGCATCACTTCCCAGTGCCCCTGGGCCTCCAGGAGACACTGGTACCTAGAAAGTGCCAATGGCCGTCCTCAGTCGCAATCTTCTCACCTATGTGCTGCTTATTCAGGTGCAGAGTAAACACCCTCTCGTCTGTGTAATTCAACTGCCTTCTGTCCATAGATATATAAACAAAGTCTTACACTACCAAATTTCTGGCCTAATTCTTAGCCTTGTGAGAGTCTCTCCCTTAGGAAAGAAAGATTCATGTGCATGTGTTAATTTATAGGTTTCTGTGTGCTTTGTTTTACGTCAGTTGTAAAAAGTGAAATTCCCTGTCAGATTCTAGTGTTGCCATGTTGGCTCTTTCCCACCCAGCCTCAGCCAACCATTACCACTGGGGACCAAATTCTTGACTCTAGTAGTTGGGTGACATCCATCCCACTCCCTACTCTTGGAATCTGTATGCAAGAGTAGCTACAAGGATTCCTTGTGCTCAGGACTTTATGAAAATAAAAGAATGATTTTTTTGCAAGCTACTAAACATGAACTCAGGGATGAGATTTCCATGTCACTATCATGACATAACTTCTGAATAAATATATAAAGCTCATGTACTTACACATACAGTACATGCATAAGTGTAATATTTTATAAGTATTTCTATTAAAATTATGTACTTACAGTGTATATTTATAAACAACCTAATCCCATAAAGGATTTAAGGTTTTTTATAAGAACATATATGAGCCAGATAATTGTTTTAAAAAGTGAAATAATAACAAAGAGAGATAAAAAACCAGGTAAGATGCAGTGCTTGAGCCAACCCAGCCCCCTTTTGCACTGCAGTGAAGGGAAGATACCCCACCTGGTTGATCCAGGTTCATCTTCTCTTTGTATTGTCTCAATTTTACATATTCTTTTTCAACCTTTATCCTGCTTTACCTTGTTTAGAGAAAAGCAGTATTTAAAATGTGGCTCTCTGGAGAGAAAACTTTTTTTTAGGCTTTCACAGAGAACAAATTGGCCAAGCAATGGCCATGATTCATCCATGTGCCTGACACTGACAAAGGATCTACAAACTGAGATACAGGGTCTCAGGATAAATCCTGAGGGGATTTGACTGGCTTATCAGACCCAAAAGCTACAACTCTTGTTGCATAGGTCGTGCTTTATCTTGGTCTTAACTATCCAGCCGAAAAGTATAAAAATGAAGTATAAGAAGTAAAGCCATGTTGTTATGTTGAGCTGTAGGGGACTCAGGTCAACAACTTCTGACATTGCCAGTCATGTGGAAGACCAATACTATTATGGACTACTGGACTATTTTGGAATATTTTGCTGAGTTCACACAACTATGATATTTAAATGATGGGGCTAAACAAAAAAAGGGGATACAGATGAATGACCATTTTGTATCTGTGTATTCAAAATGGTTAGGATAGATATATAGCTACATTCTCTTAATTAAATGAATAGAGGGATTTGTTCTAATAGTATTTGTAAATAGGAATGTCTGAATCTTGTACAACAAATAACCACTAGAAAGACAGTATGCAATGTGTTAATTATTGAAACTGCCCTACCAATTTGATTTGAAACTGTCTCATTGCTATTTGTTTCTCAATAAAATTATGAAAAAACAAATAAAAATAAAAATACAATGTGGCAGTCTGAGTTGGACGTGGTGGTGCACACATGGAATTCCAGCACTCAGGAGGCTGAGGTGGAAGGATCCATGAGTGCTTGAGATTAGCATGCGTAACAGGAAGGCCAAAGAGAAAGGAGCTGTCATCCTCAGAATCCTATCACATTGTCTCTTATTTTTCAGTTAATAACAGGAGTGGAGCAAAACAACCCATTCTTTGGGTCTCAGTAACAGTAATCTTCCTGGATGCCTTCCCCTCCAGGAAGAGAGCAGGGGTAGCTCAGGGCCTGAGGAGCTCAAGGGATGCATTTCTTCCTGTATGCCAGATACTTGGAGAGATGCGACAACACTGTTCTCTTCTGTCTTTTAAACATCCTTCCTAATGCACTTTTAGCAAACACAGCACATCCTCTGAAAGTAAATATTCTTCAGACAAATGCTCTGTAAGACTAATTACCACAAATTGGATTAAGTATAATCTCTGAAGCACTCAGACTTGCCTGGAACTGTTCTTTTTTAAACAAAATATGTTGTAACGTTTTTTTCCTCCCATATAGCCACCAATTTCCATGTATTTGTTTAATAATGCCTACTTTTAAAATTGCTTTGAGGGCTGGTGAGATGGCTCAGTGGTCTAAAGCACCTACTTAGAACAAGCTTGGCAAGGCATCAGGGACCGCGGTTCAATCCCCCAGCACCACATGCCAGCCAGCCCCGCCCCCTGGTGGGCTGAGCTGGCCACACACACACACACAAAATAAATAAATAAATAAAATTATAAAAAAAAATAAAATTGCTTTGAGGTGTCATTTTAAATTATAAAAATTCATATTAACACACATATGTATTATATGTACAAGTACACTTCTTTAGATGTTAGTTTGTTCCACTGATCTGGGGGGAAAAAACAAAAGTTCATTGTTTTAAATACTCTTCTGATACAGGTTGTACTTTATATTAGTATCTCCTGCAGAAAGAGGCTTTATGCTAGCAAAAAGCAGTGTAGGTTGAAATTACACATGCTGGCTTCAGCATTAGTCTCGGTCTAGTGTGGGTTGAATCCAGATCCAACAACTGTTGACTCTGAGCAAGCTGTGTAGTCTCAGGCTCAGTGAATGTCTAAGGCAAGTGGAGAGAAGAGGGTGCCCTTGCACACTTTTGCTTTCTCAGGAGTGCCTGTTGTCTGTCGCCTGTATTACTGGATATCTTCTTGCCTAGGATTCCAGTATATGGAAATACAAAATGTCCATGCCAAAAGCAGCCAACAATTCCTCCAAACTATGCATCTCCAAAGGGGAAGCTAACCCTAAAAGACCTGCCTGACTGGGGCCCCATAGCACAACTTCTGCTCACCTAAGCCATAATCCACAAATGTGAAATGTAGAATCATGAGTATACACAGTATTTTCTACTTTTTTAGCCTACAAAAAAATGGAATATTTAATAATAATAATAATAATAATAATAGTTGTCTGGATTTTACTTAACATTTGAATTACCTACTCAATTTTTTTAGCAACTGCTTTTCTTAGTCTCACAAATTAGTTGTGCGATTTAATTATGAAATTCCTTTTTCTTAATATATAAAATTAAGATTGGCGAGATAGTTCAGCAGCTTAAGCACATGCCAGGCAAGTGCAAGGTCCTAAGTTCAATCACCAGTACCAAAATAGATAGATAGACAGACAGATAGATAGATAGA